GCTACCGCTTGAGCCACATCCCCAGCCCAACATATACGCTTTCATATATTCTTTCCTTGAAGTTTAGTAGCACTCAAACTACATGATATATGTACTTTTCTGGTCCTCTTATTCATTGTGAATTATTTTTGCTAGATATAAGTTAAAGTTGAAAACTCTTAAAAATCTGCAGTATAAGAAATGGACAGAGTGGGTGGGCTTAGGCATACCAGGAGCAGAGCTCTGTTAACACTCATGTGGCCAATCAGAGAACAGTTGTTTTCAGTTCTTACTTTCACAGAGCACCTTGCCCTGAAATCACCTATAAGGAAGCAATGTCTTTTTATTTTATTTTTCCTGAAATTAGTGACCTTTTAGTCATATCATGTCCCATGTCTTCTGCTTTATAGTCTTCAAAGGCACAAGTTCCTTGAAAAATATTTATCAACTATTATTTAAAATAGAGACTGTGAGGAGAAAAAAATAAACCCTCTCTTATTTTAAAAATGAGAATAGATCACTTCTGAAAACAAGCAAGTAGCTGTCATTGTGCCTGACATCCCATAAAGGTTGTTACAGTCCGTGGTGGGATAGGTATGGGCCATGTCCCATTTCATAGCCGAGCAGAGAGGTGCTCAGAGCTTGAATAACTTGTGCTTATCCAGGGTGTCACTAGAGGTAGTGGCAGAGTCAAGAATGATGCTTAAGGCAAAGTATATGATGGCTGGTCACCACACATGCCTCTAGGGCCAGCTACTCAGGAGGCTGAACCCAGGAGTTGGGGGCCAACCTGTGGAGAGATCCTGTCTCCAAGAAGAAGCACATGCTTCTAGTCACTATTCTAGACAGCTTGAGAAATAAAGCACAGTAGAAAGTACAGGGAGAAATCACCCATAGTCTGGAAAGTCAAAGAAAATCATTTTAAATTTTGCTTTCTTCTGTGCTTTTTGATATAAATTGCACTTAAGTGGACTTAAACTGTTAAAACTATATGCTATTATTTTCCATCTTCTTGTCATTGAATTTTCTTGAGAAACATTTAATCTGTAGTCATTTATTAAAATTACCACTGTTTCCTGTTGTTTCTTTGGTTTTCATCTTTTTAAAATTTATTTAACAAAATCATGATCCTTTTGATTTTCACTGTTTTTCACGTTGACGTCTATTTCCTCACTGATTTTTATCCTGTGTTATTCATGATTTTCCAGGTATCTCTTCTAAGTCTATGCTCATTGTCTTAGCAAGACTATTTCCTTAAAAGTTTCTATTTTTGCTAAGACTTACAGTATGTTGTAAATTCATGAAAAGACTCTTTTATTAATTCACTCTTTTTTAGCTGTTACAAACTAAATAGCTGAAAATTCCCAGATCTCCTGGCTATTTAGGTCTGAAAAACCCCAGATAATTGATTGAGATTATGAAATCTCTTTGCTAGAGCCATTTAATTAAATGTAAACTTTATTTAACATGGTATAGCTGAACTAAAGGAAAAATTAGATTTAGATATATTCCTGATAATATCCTAGAAATCTGCTATCGCTGAGCCTTTATGGCTCTTGTTCTTTTAGTTTATAAAAAATATGTTTATTTTTCTATCTTTTCTGAATTTGAAGTTTCCTGTTAGTTTTAGTCAAATATCTTATTTTTAATTTTAACAGTTTCAATATGAAAATATTCAAATAAATTGGTTGGCTTTGTATAGTTAATTATAATCACTCTAATATTTTAATGATGTGTGCCGTGTGCTACAATAATAGAAAAGCATTTCCGCTTATTTCCTAAAGGTTGTAAATTTGCTTTATGTGGGAGCTCTCTAGCATTGTAAAACATTTCTGTGTGAATGCATTGGGAGTGATGCCGTGTGTTTTAAAGAGCAATCCATCATTTTTATTCATCAGCAGTATGGTTCTCTCTCCCCTCATTTAGATATGAAGTAAATTTTCAAGATGGTATTGATTGTGGAGGTGCATACATTAAACTCCTAGCAGACACTGATGATTTGATTCTGGTATGATATTTTAATATTTAAGAAAATCTTCTTAAAGTTAGTAAGTATTTTTAAGGAGTAATTGATACAACTGAAAGTTTCATTTCCAACAAAATCAAAAAGAACTCTGAATATCTTTTCCCAACATACGTTGATGAAGCTTTTACAGTTTGCCTTCAAGTTCCACATAAAGCTGGGTTACCTGGAGGCATCCATTTTGTAATCTTTAGCAATAAAAAATTTCACCATGTATGTAAATAGCAGATGACGTGGTGCTTTTCAATGCTGTTGAAATATCTGCTTTGAGTTCTTCACAAAATAAGACTCATTCAGTTTGTTCAGAGAAATGAAATGACACACCAAAGCCGGGAAGCAGAGTGGGTGGAGAGCCACATGGAAAGGCGTGAGTCCAAATGTTGGCAGCCACGGAAAGTGACCAACTGAAGAACATGGCTTAGCGCCTTCTTCGGCAGCAGGCTGTGTCAGTGTTTTGTCACATGACAAGACAAGAAAGACTGTGAGCTCTTGGTCAGAACTAATCGCCGGCATCGGCTATGCAATGTGTAGGTTAAAGGTTACTTTTAGGATCAGGCAGAAAAGGACACCTGTAGCGTATGTTGAAGTTCTTGCTGTAGGTGTTCTAAGGTGATGACCAGCAAAGGTAGTTGGCAAACCATCTAATGCCAAGCTGTGCTTTTTTAAAATTATGTATATTTTGAGGTAAAATTTATCATTTTTCTGTATCCTTTATTGTGTTAAATAGTTCTTCGTTAAATTAACATTTAATACATTCTATAAACTCTACTCATGGGATAGGATAGAGAAATTCATTAAATGACTCTTATAATTCTGGACTAATCCCAGCACTCATCTCTCTTTGAAGGAAAACTTTTACGATAAAACATCTTATACCATTATGTTTGGACCAGATAAATGCGGAGAAGATTATAAACTTCATTTTATCTTCAGACATAAACATCCTAAAACTGGAGTTCTTGAAGAAAAACATGCTAAACCTCCAGATGTAGACCTTAAAAAGTTCTTTACAGACAGAAAGACTCATCTTTATACCCTGGGTATATCCTTTTAATTCATTCATTAATTCAAAAATATTTGCTGACTACAAATATATTCATAACAAGTGCTTTAGGAGAAAATAAACACTCATCTACCTTCTAGAAGTTTATCTCTTGGGGAAAATAAGATATATATATTATATGTAGTTATAGTACAGACAGAAAATAAAGTGCCCGATGAGAGAGGCAGATGAGGTACAGTCAAGAGTTCAAAGGCAGAGACTTGGAGAAAACTCACTATTATATTTGAACTTGTCTTTAAGTAGAATGTAGAAGACAGGAGGAGAAAAGACATTTGTGGCACTGTGACAGAGAACAGGAAGCTAGAAAGAAAAGTGACAGAAGGGGAGGTCCCAGTGCTCAGGGGAGGAGTGTAGGCTTCATTCTGTAAGCAGCTGTGGTTGCTGTTAGGCACTGCTGTGGTTGAGGTGCGGTACATACCCAACTTTGCTAGGAAAAGCATTAGCAACCGCATGTTGACATAGGTAGCTTCCTTTAAGTAAATGGGTTTGAATAGATGTGTTTGAATAGTAGGGGTTGCTTCTCCAGTTCCTAAGGATGCTAAAGAGCTTTGTTCTGCCCAGGATTACTTAAAAATCCTAACTTTGCAGAATTAACAGGACATTTTGAAATGGCTCTATCAGCTTCTTCTCACAAGTGTCAGCTCCATCCAAGACTAAGGTATTTCAGTGTTCTTTGCAAAGGCTGTAGTTACAGAAACAATCATTTTGTCTGCAAAGACAATGCCCAGTTTTCTCCTTCAGAATTTTTGCTATGTTATAAAACATCTTTTTCTGAAATAATTGGAAAGAAATAGTGGACATTTGGGGGAGCATGAATGAAAAATTTTAACTAGAACAGGACATTTTAACTTTGTGCAAACCTGACCAAGAGCAAATTAATAGAATACAGCAGAGGCTGTAGGAGAGTCATGTTTTTTTGAAAGCAAAATTTCACATTCAGCAGTTTATCCAAAGAGAGTAATCTAGAAGAAAGGTGACTTCTGTGTGAAGATATACTGCAAATTTGAAGCAAGCTAAGTGTTATCATTAGGGGACTTTGTATGTAATACAAAGGTGGTAACTACTAACATGTTTAACAGTAAGAATATTACTTATACAGACTGAATAACCCTTATCTAACAATCCAAAATCCAAATGCTCTGAAATATGAAAATTTTTGAGGGCTGACAGTTTGGAATTTGGAGCATTTTAGATTTCCAGATAAAGGATGCTCTCAACAAATGAAGTGTATGCAAATACTCCAAAACCCGAAAAAGCAGTGGTCTCAAGCAATTTGCACAGGAGATTTTCAACCTGTAATATTAAAATGGAAAAGGAAAGTGAGATCCATATTGTAGGGATATAATGGTGGCCAACAGACAGATGATGTAAACAGATAAGATGTGATGTGTACCTCGCCTTGTTCTCAGCCCTTCCTCTGAAACCACATGTAAGGTGAACAGTGGTCTCTATTTACCTAACTTAGTTAAGTTGCTGCCCTAGAGAGTAAGAGTGACTAATAGGGCTGTAACTGAAACTCAAGTCCATGCATATGCATAAAAACATTGATTCTTGTGCTAGGATCACTAAATAACTTTTTTCTTTTTTAAAAACTGTGGTAGTACTATATTTTTATAACATTACTCTTTTTTATAATGCAGTGCTCTGATTATAAAGTCATTTAAAAACATTCTTTCTAAATAGAAATTTTTGGCCAAAAATTTTGAATAGAGTTTTTTTTCCACTCATAACTATTTGCCATATGCTTTCTTTTTTAACTATAATTTTTTATATCTTTATTTTTATTTTATTTTTATGTGGTGCTGAGGATTGAACCCAGTTCCTCATGTGTGTGAGGTACGTGCTCAGTTATAACCCCAGCCCCTTCAATAATTTTTTAAAAAATCCATTTCAGTCACAAAATTTATGAAGAAAGTTCTTTTTAAGATTTTTTTAAATGCCTTTTTTTTAAAGTAGGAGGAACCCTGTACTTTTTTGCATTGAAGATCTTGCTCTTAGCTCTGCTTCTGTCTCAAATTTTCCTTTATTTTAGTAATGTAGTTTCATAATCTCAGCTTTAATAGAAGAGGAAACAGAGGAAAACAGGGAGAAAATACTGAATGTGGGTGCTGTTATTTGGGATTTGCATGTAGCATTACTTGGATTTGACATGAATGATCTGTCATGGTCATGTCTGAAAGCCCTGGAGATGGCTATGACTGCAGAGCTGTTTCTTCAGAAGAAGCCAGTGGCCACTTCAGTAGTGATCAGGATGATCCTGACACTTGTCCACAGCTCCTACTTCTTTCATTTACTGTTAAGCAGCTCTTTTAATTGACACTCTCTCCAAAGATCTAAATTTTACCCAGAGGGAAGAGAGATCTTTTATTTTGTCATTACAAATGAGAAGGGAATCTAGAGTTTACCTGGAGCACACCTAGTGGTAAGAGTAAGCTTAGATACTCAAAAGCACTCGCAAGATGTTTTACACTAGAACATGTGAACCACTGAATTTGAAATGCTAGTGAGCCTCACCTTTAAATCTTTCTGAAATGATATTAATACAGCAATGTTTATTTCCTAATTTTGGTGGCCATACTGGGCTTTTGTAGGAGAAATGTTTGTGAGACTATACACCTTCAAACATTCAAGGGTGATGTGTAAGTTGTCAGTAACTTACTCTCAAGTGGTTCAGGAAAAAAGTTATTTGTAGTTTACTTGTCACTTTTTGAGATTGTTTTAAAATGTTTTAAATGCCGAGGAAAATCGGGTTGTATCTGTAGCTTAAAAAGGTGAAGCTGGGGGCTGGAGCTGGAGCTCAGTGACAGAGTGCTTACCTAGCACATGTGAGGCACTGGGTTTGATCCTTAGCACCACATAAAAATAAATAAACAAAAAATAAAGGCATGACATCCATCTCAAAAAAAAAAAAAAGGTGAAGCTGAGTGGCATGAGTCTCAGACAGCTGGCTACTGTGTATTTCTTACTTGAGAAGAATTGTAAACAGCAGTTTAAAACAAATTTTATCTTTATTTTAGAAAGAGTGAATCTAATGATTTCAGCATATTTTGAATACATTGATTATCCCTCTGTTTCTGGTTGGGAGAAAATTTTATCCATGAAGTTTAGATGGTTTTATTATTTAAAACGTTGTCTTTAAAATTTCATGATGAGTATGAAATGTTTGAATTGTTCTTCAGTAATGAATCCAGACGACACATTTGAAGTATTGGTCGACCAAATCGTTGTGAACAAAGGAAGCCTCCTAGAGGATGTGGCTCCTCCTATCAATCCTCCCAGAGAAATTGATGACCCCATGGACGTGAAACCCGAGGAATGGGACGAGAGGGTGAAAATCCCCGACCCTTCTGCCGTCAAGCCGGAAGACTGGTGAGCACAGAGCTCAGTCATGAGCCTCATTCCACATAGTGAAGTCATGCCATGAAATCTAGATGGACGCTTACAACCAACAAAACTGAGTCTTTTAACATCAGAACCACTTATTTTGACCATTTGGTGTGAAATATTTTAAAATTGGCTTTCCAAATACTTTTGCACTTTCCTGCCTTTTAATTTTTAAAAATTTCATTTAAATTAATACTTGCATATTATTGTAATTTCAATGCGGTTATTTTTGTGTTCAGTGCTGTGGGAGGAAATTCATGAGCCAACACCAACTTATTAATTTTATTCCTTATTTGTTCTTTATCATATGCATGTGAATGTTTTATCTAGTTTGGTTTGTTCAGTTGATAATTATTTACCCTTAAAATAGCCATGTCTTCAATATCTATTAGACTATGCAGGACTCACTCATACCAGTATGCTTTCAACCATAATTTTTTCAATAGCCCTGTGTGTGTTGTTTCCATTCTACAGAAATTTTCCTTAAAAGACATATTCAGTTTCTTAGTTCCCATAGCTTCAGTTCAGATGGCAAGAAATACCTGTATATCTCCTCATTTACTAGAATTTTTTTAATAATTTCTCCATAAAAGTCATGTTAATTTTATTCCTGAGAAGCTTATTTCTTTTTCTGCTACACGAGAAGATGACATTGATAATAATTAATGTCATCTCCTCATGTAGGTTGTACTGTCCTATTGGGTTATTCAAAGAAATATGCCTTTACTTGTCCCCACTCCCTGGGTTCTCTTGTGGTGAGATACTGTTGGTCAGGTCAGCCCCTTCCTTCTTACCTTCTGCCCATGGGGGCCTGTGAATTTCCACACTCCAGTGTTACCTGCTTGTAACTTTCCATCCTGCTCTCCCCTCTGCTGCCTTTCTGACATCCCAAGTCATTTTACATTTAAAGCCAAATACTGTATTCTGAAAATGGACCACTGTGATTTTCCTCTTTCTGTCAGTTTTTGCTTCCCGTACATTGAAGAATCTCTTCCTACATCTAATCACAGTATTTCATGACCTCTCGAGAAGCCGACTCTCTTTTTGTTAAAAAATGTTACTTAATGAACTCTTATAGTGCTGTCTTGAAGTCTCCCTGTCTTGACATTAAATCAGTGTTCTTGCTTAGGTTTAATCATGATATAATAATATAATAAATATTGTTTTCCACTCTTTACTACAACCTCTATGAGCCTTATTTTTTTAATTTTATTTACTTATTCTAATTAGGTATATATTATAGCATAGTGCATTTTAATTCATTGGACACAATTGTAGCACAACTTTTCATTTCTCTGGTTGCACACCATATGTGCAGTAATAACATGTTCCTATGGTAATGATGTCCATCTCATTCCACCATCTTTCCTGCCTCCATACCCCCTCTCCTCCAGTCTCCCACCCTCCCCTTTACCCAATCACAGTTCCTCCATTTTTCCCATGCCCCCTCCCCCATTATGGATCAGCATCCACTTATCAGAGAGAACATTTAGCCTTTGGATTTGGGGGATTGGCTTGCTGCACTTAGCTTGATATTCTCCAACTCCATTTGCCTGCAAATGCCATAATTTTATTCTCTTTTAATGCTGAGTAATATTTCATTGTGTATATATACCACATTTTCTTTATCCATTCATTATTGAAGGGTATCTAGGTTGTTTCTACAGCTTAGTTATTGTGAATTGAGTTGCCATAAACATTGATGTGGCTGCGTTACTATGGTATGCTGATTTTAAGTCCCGTGGTGTGCCTTTATTTTTAAGGTGGATTTCTTACAGGCATTCTGTGTCTGGGTCTTTCCTTTAAAAGGGTGTTTAATTCTAGGCTTATCTAATGTAACCTACCTCTAATCTCATTACGTGTTTTCTACTGTCCCATATATTCTGTGGCACTTTATAAGAACTTTTTCTTGACTTGATAGTTGTTTTCCTTTATTGCAGTTTCCCACTCTTTCTTTCCTGTTGATTTCTTAGCCTTTCCTCTGTGGTTTATGGTTTAGTGGTTGCTCAAGGCTTCACAATATGCATCTTTAACAGATCTCAGTCTACTTCAAACAAAAACTCAGCCTTCATGTGGAATTGAGCCCCATTTGAGTCTCCTGTCATCCCGCGCCCTGTGTGTTGTGTCCACGCACTTCCTTCTGTGCGCACTGGGAAGGCCATGTGCCTGCCCTCCCCTCAGTGTCTTTGGATCACAGGAGGGGAAAGCCTTTTGGTTATCCCCACGGTCACCTTCTCAGAGACCTCTTGTTCCTTCTGTGCAGTGCAGCTTTCCATCTGTGATCATCTCCCCGCTGCCTGAGAAGCTTCCCTGAGGTGTGGCCCAGCCCGTCATCCTCATTGGATTCTCCTGACCTTCCTGGGGATGGTTCCTTTGCCTTCTTCTTCTTCTTTTTTTTTTTTTTTTTTGAATAATTTTTTAGTTGTAGATGGACACGATATCTTTATTTATTTATTTTTATATGGTGCTGAGTTTCGAACCCAGGGCCTCACGCGTGCAAGGCAAGTGCTCTACCTGTCCACTCCAGGTTGGCCACTGTTTCCCAGCAGGCATCTCTGATCCTGGGTCTCCTGCTGTTTCTGCAGAGAAGCCATTGTGCTCATCTTTGCTCTCCTTTACCTAATATGTGCTTTGTTCTCAGTTTGGTTTTAAAATGTTTCGTTATTACCAAATTTCAGCAGTTGACTTTGCTTCACCCAGTGTGGCTCTCTGTATGCTTCTCTGCTTTGGATTCTTTAACCTTTCTGGAATGTGGGCTCATAGTTTGTACCAAATTTGGAAAATGTTTTCAGCCATTATTTATCTCAACATTCCCATGTTCCTCTCTTTCTCCATTCCTGTGTCCTCTCCGTGTTAAATGTATGTCACGCAACTTTAGACTGTCTCACTGAGGAGGGAGGTGTCCATTGTTTCTAAAAGAGTTTTCCTCTTTTGCTTCATACTAGAAAATGTCCCTATTTCCTTACATTCTTGCTTTTTGTAGACAGCTTCTGATAGCTAGTGAAAATGCTGTTGCTCTCAGGCAGAGATTGTTACAGGAAGTACCTCATACACATAGGCAGAGCATCCTGGTCTAGAAGAGATCAGTAGGAAGCCCTGCCAGTGACTGTCCCTGCCTCCTGCTGTCAGGAGAGAAGCTCCTCCTTCCCCATGGACCCACTGGGCTTCTTGAGTTTTTACCCAGAAAGGATGAATTTGTCATTAAATGTGAGAAATCGCAGATAACGGTCATATCCTGACTAGCAAAATGTACTGGATTTGCTTTAAAGAATTAGAAAAAAATCTTCCTCAAATTTTAAATTCTGCTTATCCTGAGCACTCAGAGACTCAAGGTAACACTGATGTCAGGCAAGTTCTAGTCTGTACATTTATAGTCACTTATTTTAGCTAATTTTTTACTCAAGTTTTATTTGGAAAGTCATGAAGGAACATCTTATTTTAAAATTTCTGTAAAGATGAAATCATATTGGTAGTTCTAGTCAATACTTGATGTGATTATGTTTATTTTAGAATTCACTCCCTAAGTTAGTGTTAGTTTTAAAAATAGAAATATTAGAATTAAGTTAAATGTGGAGAGTTTTTAAAGAAAAATAACAGTGGAGTAGGTAAGACCTTTTCAAATATGACATAAAATCCAAGAACCATAAAGGGAATTATTAATAAATTCAACTATTTGAAAGCAGATGATTTGTATGTGATAAAGAAAAAAGAACAAACTTTATAAAAAACACATAAGAAACTGGAAAATGTCTTTTGAATTCACACAGCTGACAAGTGGCTAATTTCTTCATACAAAGGTAATGAGCTATTTAATGCAAACAGAAATGGTTTTTATATATCATTTTATGCTGTTAACTGTACACTAAAATACAATGCCATTTTCAACTATCAAGTGCATTGCCATTTTCAACTATCAAGCAGGCAAAAAAATCAAAGTTTGGTAGTATTATTGGCAAGGTCACAAGAAAATTGGTACTCTTGTACACTACTGATAGGACTGAAAATGAAGCATAAGAAAGTAATTTGGAAGTGATCAAAATTTAGTATGCTCATACTTTTGCAGGTGAGAAATGGCTTACAATCTATTATAGCATTGTTTGTAATAGTAATAGTTATTTAGGCATTTTCCTTCTCTAAGAAGGAAATACCTAAATAAATTATGAAATAAAGTAGAAAATTATGTAACTGCTAAGAATAAAACAGATATATGTGTAAAAATAACAGAATAATCTTGACACAGAGTAGGCTTACAATATATATTTATTGTTGAGTGAGTGAGTTTCTAAGGGACAAAACCAAGGTCTGACATATTGTATATAGCATGCTATCATTTGTGTAAATACACACAGGTGCATGTGTGAATGTTGGGAGTATATTATAAAGAATTAGCAAGTTAGCAGAAGACTTTGGTGAGAGCCATGTGATGGGGTGGTAAGAACATCAAGACAGAAGGGTGGGAAACCCTGTGATGGTGTCTTCTGAAGTTGGCAACATGCAATTTAGAACTCTTTGAATAATTATTAATTAACATAAAATAGTGTATTTATAGGGATGAAAATGAACCTGCTCAAATAGAAGATGTAAATGTCGTTAAGCCTGACGGCTGGCTGGATAATGAGCCAAAATTCATCCCTGACCCTCAAGCCGTGAAACCTGAAGACTGGTGAGCGCTCTTTACCTTCAAACACCAATGTCTGTTCTGCCATGGCTTTCGTGGCTGGTGGGAGAGAATTGAGGTCACTGTTTGTTCTGTTCTGATGTCTTAAGGAATGAAGACATGGATGGAGAATGGGAGGCACCTCATATAGCTAACCCCGCATGCCGGATTGGGTGTGGTGAGTGGAAACCTCCCATGATAGACAACCCAAAATACAAAGGGATTTGGAGACCACCCATGATTGATAACCCTGACTACCAGGTAAGGACTTGTTTTTCCAGTTCTTGGGTAAAGTTTAAAATATTTTGTTGCTTTTTATATCTTCTTATCAGTAATATCATGTTAATTTTTAGAAGCTTGATTTACAATTTATGAAGAAAAAAGACCTCAACTAATTTATAGTTCAAAAGGAAAGCATTCTTTAAATAATTTTCTAAGGTAATAAAATTAAGAACTTAAGATAAATCACTTCATACTTCCCTAGTAATCAATTGATGCTCCCTTATAAAGTTCTGTTTTAGAAATAAATATGAAAAATAAATTCTGATCAAGAGGACTCAACATACATTTTAATAAATAGTGCCTGTGCTTAATTAATGTGCTCCTTAATTTTTTATATTATTAAAATTCAGAATTTTTTAATGATCTTTTGAGTTTTCCTAACTTTTTATATTGAAAGTCCCTGTTATTCATTTAACCTTCCAATTTTATCTTTGTAATTATAAACTGACATTTTCTAACATTTTATATATATATATATATATATATATATGCAGTTGCACACTCTAATTATTCACTATAGTTTTTCTTCATAGCATTTCCTTGGATAATTTTTTGTTTAATGTCTGTATCCTCATTAGACTTCAGATGCTGTGAGACAGGAACCATATATCTCTCTTGATCACCACTGTATAGCTAGCATTTGGCACAGTGACAGTACCTGGCACAGAGTAGATATGTATGATGGTGGAATGAGTCAGTGAGTTATCACATTGTTGAGTTTATTTGACTTCATTGACAGTCCTTCAAGACCATTTGAGATGAGGCTTTTATATTGAATAATCATTTGAGGTTCAGCAGTGATCAGTTATTGGTGCCTATCTTGGGTATACATCAAGAGAAGTGGCTCTATTTTTGCTATATAATGATCTTCCAAATTTGAACAAATTTAATGACATCTTGCCTCCAGTACCTTGATTAAATACAGAAAATTTGTATAGAATAACATCACTTGTGAAATTTAATTAAGTTTTTGTGCTTGTTGGATTTTTGCTTTTTTTCAGAGTTAAAAGTCAGTATTTCTCATAAGAAACATCATGAATAGAATAAGAAATTAGATTTTATTTCCAATAAATTACTAATGAGTTTGTCTTTTTCAGTTCTTTTCTCCACTTGCTGATAATTTCATTCAACAGCAGCTGCTTCTTGAGCAGCATTTGTAATGAAATTTATCTTATTTGAAAATGTCTCCAATTTTTTTTTTTCAGGGCATCTGGAGTCCTCGAAAAATTCCCAATCCAGATTATTTTGAAGATGTACATCCATTTCTTCTTACTTCTTTCCGTGCTATTGGTTTAGAGCTTTGGTCTATGACTTCTGATATCTACTTTGATAATTTTATTATCTGTTCGGAAAAGGAAATAGCAGATCGTTGGGCTGCAGATGGCTGGGGATTGAAAATAATGGTAGAGAATGCAAATGAGGTATGGTAATGACCATAGTGGTAATGACACAACTAGAACTCAGTCCTGATTTTAAGTTGTACACATGGTCCTTTTAGTGGTACATAAATTTTCAGTAATCACTATATGCCAATGAAATATACCTAAATTTAAGTTTATGTGGACAAAATATTTATCGCCATATATAACTTCATTATAAACTATATAAACTACCGTGTATGCACATGTTCTCATTTTATTTGTTAAGTTGATAGTTTTAATGGGATTTAATCCCTATTTATTATTTATAGAAATAAGATTTCTTACTGTCTTTATTACCTTGCTAATTCAACTAATATATATTCATATTAACTATTTTTCACTTAGAGAAAAACAAAAGAGTTTTAAATTTAACATTATGAAGTTGTGTTTCGGGCTTTTTTTTTTTTTCCTGCAAATCTTACAACTGTTTAGAAAAGGTTAAGCTATTTGTCTCAACACATTTTGGAGAATTTTAAAATCAGTTAACTGTAAATAAAAATTCATTCCTTTCATTTTGTTTCTTTGGACACTTTCAACAACCCTCTAAAGAGTAGGTAAACCTTGACTCTCGTTTTGAAACTTTTAACAAAAACATTTGGTGATTTCAGATTCAGTTTTAATAAGAGAAACAATTTCCTTATTGAGGTCATTGTGAAATTTGTTTATATGAAAAAGAAAACAAAAATTCTAAGATATAATTTAATTGATAGGTTCTTTAAAAGTGTAGAATGAATTATCAAGGAGTTGTACACTTCTGAATGAACCAGATAACACGGTCATAAAAAGTAATTCTCTCCTGAGTAGTTCTACTAAAAGAAGGAAAATTGTCATTATTCTTGCTGGCAGGTTAGAAGTTTTCATCTACGTAGTAACATACCTCAAAGTCTCACTCATGCTAATGATTAAATTCATCTTTACATAGAGAACATTCTAAAGATGGAAAAATAAAACTTTTTTTTCTTACAAGTTCATAACTCCCTAATACAAAATACCTAGGTAAATATCTTTTATAGACTGTTTCTCAATGGAGGTTTGTAAAATCTGAGTCACATTTTTATGCTTATCTCTCGTGTAGCCTACCGTATTTAAACAGCTAATAACAGCTGCCGAAGAGCGTCCCTGGCTTTGGATCATTTATCTGGCAACAGTGGGGCTGCCAGCAGCATTAATTGCTTCATTTTGTTGGCCAAGAAAAGTAAAGGTAAAGCTAAAGAATTTCCTTTGTGATTCTTAAAAGTAATAAACTAAATATCCTATGTTTACTGACTGCTTACTGCGTTATGTAAATAGCGCTTTGCTTTTGGTAAAAATAGCTTGTGTTAAACTATTGCAGAAAAAATATGTAGATGCAGAGTATAAAAAAACCGACATATGCAAACCACAAACAAAGGGGGCGCTGGAGCAAGAAGTGAAGGAAGAAAAGGAAAAAGTAGCTCTGGAGAAACCAGCAGATGTGGAAGAGGAAAAAAAGCAAAGCGACAGTGAAGTTCTTGAAAAGGGTAGGATGGCATCGTGGCTTGGGAGAGGGACCCTGGACCAGGCTCAAGAAAAGAGCTTACTCCCTGGAAGGCGCAAGGTGATGCGCTGCCTATTATTACTTGCACACCTGACCCCCGGGATGTAGACTGACAGCAAGAGGTACATAGGGGAGACACAGGGGTTGACCTGTCAACTTCTCTTCCCCAAGCCCCTCACTTTTGGTGGGGTAGGAGTTTTCACTTTATATAGCTCCTAGTGTATACTTCATATTATATATATATATATATATATATATATATATTTGTAATGATGGATGGAGGTTTGGCTAAATGTAATACATAGGAGAGTCAGTCACAGAACAAACACAGGACCATGTGCACTAAGCACAAGTGTGAGTAAGCAGCATGCTGAAGGGTAAAAAGAGGTCACCACACACCACGGGAAGTATTAATAAGGAGTGGACATGCCATGTCCACTCCTTAAGTTCTCAGAGCATGTTTCATACAGAGTTTCATGTTATGTACAGAATTCTATTAATGTGTCCCTTGCCTCAACGAGTCTGATTTATTTATATTGTGATAAAACGATGAATACTTGCATTATTTTTTTAATTTTTGAAAGAAAGAAATTGCTTTTTTATTTTGGAATTTAAATAAGCCCCTCTTATTATATTTAATACTTTTCAGCAATACAATTCTAATTTATCAAGTCTTTGCTTTTAATAAAATCTTTATTCTAGAAGATGAAGGTGAACCTGAGGAAAAGAGTGAAGAAGAAATTGAAATTGTAGAAGGGCAAGAAGAGGGTAATAAATCAAATAAGTCTGGATCAGAGGATGAGGTAAGCATCTCTTTAACAGAAAGTGAGCTCGTTTTCAAGTGTGATTGTGATCCACTAAAAAATGTTTCAATAAAAGCAGCCATCTAGTTTGTGAAGGAATTTTTGCCATATTTCCCTGAGCTTTTGTAAGAGTCTCATATTGCTTTTAAAACATATTGATAAAGAAGGCGAGAAAATACTATAACATATTTTGACAATTAAACAAGGTATGTAGAATTAAAGTTACAGTAAACCTATGATTTGAATATTTGAATCATAATCCTGATTATTGCAAGACACTTTTCTTCATAGCTGCTGCAAAAACATTCTTATTGTCCCAGTACTGTCACATTTTGAGATATTTCATTCATTGGGTAGTTGAGTACTATCTGTCTGATTCCATGTTTTTCTCAAATTTTCAGTGAAGTAGCTTTTTCTTTTGTTTTATATGTTTCTGATATAAAATGGAACTTTCCACAATGCTTCTTCTTTAGTCATTTTTTATAGAATCAGAAGTCATCCAGGGTATGACTGAGGACCACAGCTTTCTTTTTTTACCCAGCATAAATCAAAAGCTATTCAGAGCTGCTCTCAGCCTCGGTCTCCAGCCGACCACCTTCCACGCTGGCGGAGGGCTGGTAGGGAGCAGCTCTGCCTGGCCTGCTGCAGGCCCTGGAAGACACTCTCTATTGGATCTATTGGAAGAAACTCCCAGATTTACTAGTGTTTGTTTGTTGTTAAACTTTGTCTTCCCTAAGGTGGGGGAATAGTCATGTTTAGGGGAACTGGGTAAAAATAATTTCTTCCAGAGCAGAGTTCTGAACAGTCGCTGATTCAGCTGTGATGTTCTTAATCATGACACTTGTAGCCGTTTACTCAGATGTTTTCTAGTTATATTTGTCAAAAAACATTTTTATGTCTTTAAGAATATCTTAATCTGTCTTCCAGTCTTTTAGTCTTCATACACATATTTATCAGTAAGCTAAAATAAGTCAATTTTGTGTGATATGACCTTAATAAATAATTATGACTTTATGTAATACCATAATATTTTGTTCCAAAAATTTGATTTATGTACAAACACACATTCTGGAAGGATAAGAAAGGAATGAAAAACCTTGAACCATTTTATTCAATGATTTCTTTTTCTCTTTTCTAATTTTTTCTGGAGGTGTACTATGTGCCAGAAGTTCTGAAAACCAGCTTAGCAATTCATTACTTACAAAAATATTGTGATGAATAGTTAGTGCTGTTGTCCCACAAAAATATCATATAACTATTAACTACAACATTGAGACCAAGTTCTGAGTCATAAATAAAATGTTGAAAACAGTGTTAGTAGTTGTCACATGTTTCTTTGATGAGCAGTGTTATTCTAAAAATGTAACTATGCCAAAAGATGAACAAATGAAAATACATCAATTCCTGTGCACATTTTGCACAAAGTCAAGAAACATGTATAAGATGGCTTTTGACAGTTAGAACATGTATTTTGGAGAATATAAAGTATGTCATTTATTGTTATGTACAAGTTACATAAATAAAATATTTCTATAATTCTCTTTTCTAGATGAAAGAAGCAGATGAGGGCACAGGATCTGGAGATGGGCCCACAAAGTCAATACGCAAAAGAAGAGTGCGGAAGGACTGAAATACATTCAAGTATTCTTAATGCCTGAGAGAGAGTTGGCATGCTAAAATTAGTGTGCCAGGACTGACCTTGAATCAATCTGCATGTCCTGTTTCTAAAAATCTAGCAAAGTTATTCTTTCAGGTATTTATTTTAGTCTTTTCAGGGGGGAAAAGGCATCTTTGAAGTTACCTGGTCTTTGAATTTAACATAAACGTGGCACATTACATATCAGATTTAAGAGATTATTAATAACATTAGATGTTACAGTTTTAATAGTTTGAAGATAGTTTTGGTTCATACAGAGCAAAATTATATGTAGCAACTTCACTGCTATGGGAAAAATCAGTTATTGGAATTTCCACTCAAATGGCTATACAAGAAGAGAACTGGTAGTTTTATATCACAAATAAGAGTGTGTTCTGTTGTACAGAGCTAAAGGCAATAAAGTTTCTGTATGGTTGTTTGATTCCATCAGCAATTGAAAGTGTTGTGTGTGACCCACATTTACCTAGTTTAAGCTTTCTGGTCAGTTGTTCACTTAAATTAGATTCCTTTAAAGAGGTGCTTTGTTGACAAACTTGTCAACAAAACAAATGTCTGTGTGTCACTTAGAGAATCACTGGATAATACTGCAGCATATTTTACATTTAAATACAAAGATAATAGGTTTATCAAAACAAAATGGTGTACAGATTTTTTCAAGCTCTTATAGTAATTATATGTCAGAGTGTCTTAACCCATTCACAAAATTGCTTGTGTCTATATTGCTCTTGAAAATAAAATCTAAATATTTTTCTTCTTTAAATTATACATACTCTTTCACATATAATTATTGGGGAGGCCTTGAATTATTCTTAATGAGATCCTGATAGCTAACATAAATTTATCATGCTTTACCTTTTTATCCTGCTTCTCCCTGACAGATTCAAATCTATTTTAGGCCTCTCCTCTAGCAGCAGAGCTGCCCTTGTGGTGCCTTTCCTCTTATAATAGTTACCAAATGTCCCAGAAGGACCTTATAGTGGAACTGTGTTGTTTCATTTAAAATATCACATTAAACAACTTTTTATGTTTAAGTAACAGGTGTGGACCCATTAGAAGGTGATTTACATGTGAGACGGAAAACTACTTGACTACTAAATATCTAGCAAACTTCATATTAGTTGGGTGAGATTTTAGATTCCTTCTCAGACCCCATATTTTTATAAACCCCACCCAAGTTCCCAGACAACTCCTTCCCACAGGTACATTTAGAACTTATGTATAGGGAAAATAAGTCCCTCGCTCCCTCCATTTCACAGCCAGTGAAACTATTCACTCCTTATTTCAGTGAATGAATTGAAAATGAAAGTTAAGTGCTCTCCTTCTCTATATCCTGACTTTCACAAACTGGTGGTGAAACACTTAGGCATAATTTATATTTATTTCATACTAGCTAAACTCAATACATCTTGCAAGGACTTTCTCATTTGGTTTGAACTAGACATACGAATAATTCTAGAGAAGAGTTTCTCAAATAGCTATTTCAGGCAATAAATTCTTTCTGAAAAATTTGCCTTACCAACATCTAGTAAAATTTTTTTTTCTAAAGACTGGCTAAAACTGCTTTGACTCTTTTTGGTTGCAGATTCATTTTAATTTGAATGTTTGGTTAAACCCTATGAGTTTGCAGTGGTAAGATTTGAGCAACCAACTTGCCAAGTCAGTGCTATTACTGTGCATGCTCCCCTCTGTAGATGTACCAGGGCTGATAGGTTTAACCCAAACTAACACTTAGAAATAACATATGAGATCTATGCAGTAGACAAGGCAAAGTCTAATAATCCAGTGCCTTTTTCCTTTTATTACTCTCATCTGATTTGAATAACGTAAATGTTATTTTCTCTAATAAAGGAGAATAAATACATTTCAAAGTTTTGAGGCTTTTTAACTTTACCAAGTTAAAGTAACTTTGCTTCTCCTGAAAATGTTTTCCTTCTAGCCTTGCATCCAGTAATCACTTCTGTAGGGAGGCATAAATAATGTCAGTTGAATAATATGAGTCTTTTTGAAGTGTTAGTCACCATTTGGAGGAGACACAGGTTACAACAGTTTATATGTTAAAATGAATTAGTAGTAATTGATTTACCATAAACATCCACATCTAGTCCAAAGTGTTTATTCAATGCAGGCTATTCAGAATGGCCGGATCATGAGTATATTAAAGGCATCTCTGAAAGGGTTTTTTTTTTTTTTTGGTTCTTTCAGTTTTGTTTATGTTTTAACTTCAATAGGATTTACAGATGAAATGTCAGCTGGCTAAAATAACCACTTAAATCCTTTACAGAAATGACCAAAACATAGTGGTATTACTTGATAAATTTTAGTAATTTCTTCTCAGAATATATAGCTCCCATGCATTTCCATAATATGACTGCTGTTAAGAAGTTTTGGAAATAAAAGTACCCCTACTCTGACAAGTCAAATGGGGCCAGTTGGTGGAAAAGAAGATGCATTTGGAAACATTTGGAGTTTCTCTTTGGAGATCCAAATGCACAGAAGAGTGAACGCTAAGGGCAGTTTTGGAGAAGATGGACAATGGCACAATAGGAAAATTATCTAACATCTAATGTATAGTGTCTTATCACATTTTGTGTTTGATGAATGAATAAAAAATATAATACTCTTTGTAAAAAGTTTGGGAGTTTTCAAGTTTTAGTAACAGATACTTGACAAACCATTTATAAATAAGGTAAAAAAATTAAAGCAATAAAATACATTAAAAATTGATTATAATGTATTACTTTAGCTTCTGTCACCATTCTCAAAACTCTGCTTCATTATAAAGTAAGTGATATCCTGGGGTCAACAAGTCCTTGTTATATATACCTTTTTAAATACCATTAATATACAGTGAAATGAACTGTAGCTACAAGGAAATTAAATAATTCTCTTCTAATTCTTAATATCCTGTGTAATTACAGTCTCTGTACTTTCATGATTTGCAAGCGATTAAGAATTAATCTCTGATGCTCACTGGTAAAAATTTTTGGTTGTGTTGGTATTGAAGTATTTCATGATAACCACCAGAGGGCATTACAAAATAAAAAAGTATTAGGCAAAGTAAAGAAAGACTTTATTTACATTCTAAAGAATTAAGATCCATTTTACTCTGCTTTGGACCACAAAATTAATTTTAGATTGTACAATTCATCTCTCATTTAGATCAGAGGGAAGTGTAATGGACAGGACTAAAGATGCAACATTATTAACTAGTTGAAAGTAAATGCTCATGAGTTTGGTTGCTTTTCCACAAAAATCCAAAAATCTCTGGAAAGTGAAAATATTTTTTAAAAATCATTTTATCACTAAAACTCATTTGGTAGTCATACCTGATTTCCTAGACAGGCTTTTATAAATACTGTGTAGCCTTGTCTTCATCCCACTTACTATTAATGCTAATAGACTTGGCTGAGAAATGTTAATGTATTTGATTCCAGGTGCCACTCAAAACCATATCAGCTTATAAACCATAATACTTTATAAAAAATCTGAAAAATGCCAAATTTGAAACATTTGGCCTACTACTTCCACATAAGTGAATGTTGTCTGTAGTAACTGGATATAAGTCCTGTCCAAAGGGGATATAAAGAAGACAATGGCAGTGTCAGCATTGAAGGAAGTCCTCCTGGAGAAAAGGAGTACCTCAATTTGTTGAGGCTGCTATAACAAAATACCACAAACTGGGGTAGCTTATAAATACCAGATACTTGTTTCTCACAGTTCTGAAGGCAGGATGTAAGATCAGGATGCTAGCAGAGCTGGGTTCTGGTGAAGATTCTCTTCCAGGATGCAGACTGCTATCTTCTTGCTATGTCCACTAGTCTTTCTGGCACTGAATACCATTTATGAGGGTTCCATCCTTGATAATTATAACCTATGGCACAACTTCCTAATACCATCACATTGCATTAAAAGCTGCATCTAAACTGACAGGCCTTCACAGACATCCTGGCTTTTGAGCTGAATCAATAACTGGATAGAGGAAGATTTGAGTACTTTCTATATGGAAAAGTTGTGCAGATACTTAGTAGCAAGAGACAGGCTAAGCTGCTAGTAGCAACCAAAATCCTTTATCTGTTTCCATTTTAATAAATTTGTAGCTAGGCAGTTTCCCAGCCACAGCTCTGTCTAGAAGTAATTACATCTCCACATGATGGGAATGCAAAAAGAAATGGGTCATTTCAAGGCCCAGCCCATAAAAACCTGACCTTCGTGCACATTTTTTTTCCCCAAATCAGAATCATATGTGAAGTGACTTAAGAATCCATGAGTGAAAATGGTAGAGCCAACCTTAACCTAATAATTGTGAATATTTGTGTGAGGCGCAAAACCTGCTAGCCTGTAATGCTCTCACTTCTGAACCACTGTTGGGAGAGAAGCTTCTGTATCATTCTTTATCACTGTGTCTCTTTGTTACAGGAGCTTACCTAACCTAAATTTTTTTAAATTTAACTGCCTTTCCCCTAGAGAGAGATATCTTGGATTCTTTCAACAATTTTGCTTCTATTTTTTAAAACTAATGTGTAATGTCCTGTGATTTTTGTATTAACAAATACATCTCCCCAAACATATCTGTACTTTACCCTGTGGAGCCACCCTGAATAGACCACATATCTATTATACCCCATTCATTTAAGCAACTGTATCAAAACACACACCATCTCTGAAATAGCTTTTTATTAAACAGCAAAGCAGAACTGTGTAACACAATTTTAAATATCTATAAATTAGGTCACAGAAGGGATGCAAAATGTTTGCAGTTTAATTATATATTCATACAGCTAAAGTCACATATCAAATCTTACACTAATACATAAGATTATTTCATGATTAAAAGTAGTCCAAATCTAATAATCATAAGCTATATTAGTGGGTCTCTTTTCCTATTATCTTAATATTTCCAATACTGATTCCCTTACCAAATAAACTAAAAACTAAATTTTAAAAAAATTTAAAAGAATGACTAAACCTCTGCAAACTAAATGGTAGAATTTACAGAAAATTCTGGGAGAATAAGTGAGCTAAAATACTAAGATTAAAATTACCATTATTGTACATGTATACTCTACCATGTGTTCATGATTCTGTTACTAATAAACTCTCAAAGAATTCTGCAAGAGTTGATCTATTGGGTAAATGTCCTTGAGACCAAATGGTAACTGGTCTCCCTATGTAGCTTACATAAAGTTATTCAAACTTAATGCACTTTCATATCTATCTTTTGTCCGCCAAAAGTCTATTCTGCCAGAGAGAACACAAATCTGGAGTGAAAGAATTTGAAGTAGTATTTACCAAGTTCTTTCCTGTCCCATTTCTATTTTTTCTCAAGATAGATCTATCTTGAACATACATCCATGACCAGAACTCCTATCTTTTCAGGTCCCAAGTGGGTTATTTTGTGCAAAAGGAAGTTTTAAACAAATCTTCCCAGTATGAGACCATTTTTATAGTTTCAGTCCATCTTCAACTGCTTAAGAGAAACCATCAATCCTATCTTATTATTAAATACCACACAGGACAAGCCCTAGCTAAGACAGTATCTTATTTTGGTTAAGTTTCAACAATTAGAGTCATGTTACTCTCATCAGTGATTAACTATTAAAATTACTTTTACAAATGTGAATTTTTTTTTTTTCCTTAGGGGAAGGGAAATGGGAAGGAAGAGGCAAATGGAGAAGAGGCACAAGATGGTGGACAGGGTACATAAAGCTGTGCATTCAGTACATGATTTTGGTCACTTTTTCACAACATGGTGGTTATTTT